AGAGCTTAGCCTTTTATAGTATCTTAATAAGCCCTATATTTTCTAAAACGACTAGCTTATAGTCTTCTTCTTTATTAATAATAATATCTTCCTTTATTATAAGGATAATAAGGATATAGCTAATTATATAGTTATAGCCCTTAAGAGGAAATACGCTATAACTAATTAAGGGGAATTATAGTAGTTTCTAGGTATCTATATCCTTTATAACTAAAGTAATAAGAAGCTTTAGCTATACTAAGACTCCTATATTAAAAGGATAGTTTAACGATTTAGCCTTCGATACCTTAATACCTTTAAAGGAGCCCCTTTTTTATATAACGAAGTCTAGCTAAATATAAGGTAAGCTTCTTAAGACTAAATTTAGCTCTATTAAAGTAAAGTTAGATTGCTAAACTATACTATATATATTACTTATCTAAATATAGCTAAACTAGTATCTAAACTAGCTAAATTCCTTTATAACCCTTTTAAGCTTTATTTTAAGCTCGCGGACTATTTAATTAAGTACTTATATACTACTAAGTATCTCGCTATTTAGTTTTTAGGCACCTTTAGCTTTAACGGAGACTATATTACTTTAATCTAAGCTTAATATTATAGCGACTTTTAGAGCGCTTTAGACGCTGCTTTCGCTAATAATAAGGAAATATATAAGTTATCTTAGGGTTTAATTTATACCTTCTTTAGCGGCCCTATTACTTAGAAAGCTAGGAAATAAAATATAGTTACTACTTTATTTATAGAAGCTAAGCTTCTCGCCCTTATATATATAGCTAAGGAAACTATTACTACTTTCTATTTCTTTTAATAGCTTTCTCTTAAGCTTAATAGGAAACCTATAATCTAATATAATAACCTTTAAATAATTCGTCTTATTATATAAGATATCCCTTACTTTTATATAGCCCTTCGTTATATCGATATCTACTCTTATTAAGTAAGGCAGTTATATAAGTAGGGCTACTACGACCTTATTTATATACCTACTTTATAAATACTTATAAATAGCCTTATAAAGGTTTTACTAGGCTAAAAATTTACTTACTTTACTAAATAACTTAGCCTTATTAATATCTCTTTACTTTTAAAGGTATAGGTTCTTTAGTTTATACTACCTACCGGCTAGTATAACCTAGGGGGGTATATTATATAAGGTATATTAGTCTTTAATAGTCTAATTCCCTTATTTATATAGTTAGCCTATATTTTAGGTTATAGTAGTTTATAATACTATATTAGTAATAGATTTAAACCTTTTAGATTATATCGTTATCTAAGCTACCTAAGTAGCGATATCGCTACTTAGTCTAAAGTTATAAGTATAAGAAGCTAACTTCTTACTATTACTTAGATAGAGAATTAAGAGCTACTTAGTCCCTAATCTTTATACTTACTTAGCTTATCCTCTATATAATAAATTATAGTAATTTCCTTAGATATTTAAGGGATTTCTATAAAGGATATTACTTAAATTTCCTAGAGTCTTTTAAGGATTTCTAAGTAAAATCTTTACTATAATTCTATAAGATTCTATAAGTTACTATATAATAAATATTACTTAGATTTCTAGGTATCTTTTTAAGATATCTAGGTAAAATCTCTATTATATTTTTATAGGATTCTATAAATCGCTACGCGCTTATTATATAGGGTATAAAGTAGTAGTAAGTATAAAGATTAAGAAGTAAAAGAACTCTTAATTTAGCTATTTAAAGGGGAAAAGGAGTAATATCTTTATAGATAATATAAAGGAGTAGGTAAGAGATACTAAAAGTATTTAATTATATAGTATAGGTGCCTATAACGTATATATAATATTAATAGTTAGTATAGCTATTTAGTATAGTATAGATAGTAAGGGTTAGCTTATTAAAGGCTAATATCCTATATATAACAGCGCTAAATATCGCCTAGATTTCTAGGTATCTTCCTAAGATATCTTAGTAAAATCCTAGTAGCGCGGTCTATAGGTTTCCTTAGATTATTATAGCGGATATTATATAGATTTCTAGGCGCTTTTATAGCGTATCTAAGTAAAGTCTTATCGGCTCGGAGAATCTTTAGTTAATCTAGCGCGTCTTCGGGTCTATTTTATAGGAATAACTATCTAGATATATACTTATACCTATAGAAGCTACCTTTTATCTCTAATACTCTTAGTTTATATATATTCTATACTTAGCGCTATCTACTAAGGTATTTCCTATAGGTCTTAGCGTTACCTATTTTATATAGTATATATATTAAGCTAATAATATTACTTACTTTCTTTTTTTAAAGAGTTAAAGATTTAGTAATATATAAGGAAGATTATAGCCTTCTTTCTTTTATAGTAGGAATAGCTTTATTCTACGCGCTAAATAGTAAGGCTAGCCTTAAAAGCTCGCTCTAATAATAACTTCTTCTTTAGGCCTAGCCTCTTATTCCTATAGTTAAGCTACTTTAGTAGCGGCCGCGCCTCTTTAAGCGGCGGCATTATAAACTTTAGCTTTAAAGCTTTAAAATAGGGCTAGTAATATAAAAAATAGTATACGTCTAATAGAAATTGCAAACGGCTTAGTATATATACTATAGAAAATAAGTAGCGCTAAGACCTATAGGGAACACCCTGGTAGACGGCGCTAAGACTAGTCTAATTTATTAAATTACTATGGTAGATTCTTTAAAGGCAACCCTCCTTTTCCTACTCTCGCTGCTATAGCCTTTAGCTTGCCTTATAACCCCTCTACCTTTTTATATAATTCGTATATCTGCGGGGAATAGAGTTAACAATCCCGCAGACCCACTCTACTTAGAAATAAAAACGATTAAAACTGTTGTATATCTTATTATATAGGTTAGCTATGAGATTAGTTTAAATTAAGGTATATACTTACGTTGCACCTGCTACAACTAAATCAACAGTTCTCGCTTTAGTTAAGCCAGATAATACTGCAACGAAACCAGTGGTGGCAATTATGATAATAGCTAGTCGAGCATTTAAGCCGCTAACAAAGTTGCATATAACGACAGGGGTTAAAAGCAAGCCAACGATGAATGGTGTTACTAACAGTCTGGCTGCCTGGGTTGTGGATGCCGGCGGAAATATGTGCACGTTTGGGTCTCTCGAGATGCTAAACCGGGAATTCTTTGTCATGATTAGCATCCAGTAGCAATGCCTAGAGTGGATTTCTTACCTTGCTAAAATGCTCGCGGAAATAGACGCGGCCATCCTCCACCAACGCCCCTATCCACGTCATGGCGCTATCATCTGTGACGGCTACACTAAGAAGATCTTCGGTCTGTGCTAGGTATGCCGTTTCTTCCCGAGCTATGCAGCCATTCCCATCTACCCAGTTTCGCAAGTTCGTTATGTCTCGACGCGATGCGGCTTCAAAGCCAATTACCCGGCGATTTCTTTCGACCAATGCATCTACCCCTCTTTTAGTATTGTTCTGAGGACGATTAGAGAGAAACGCACCGTAGTCAGTCAATCTTTTATCAATTTCTAACAAAACAGCGCGTCTCTCCTTATTGGTGTCTCTTCTGCTGCATCCAAGGGATAGCGGGGTGGCTTCCTCTTGATCTATCGTCTCTAGCTGCTTTTCAAGCAGTAAGAGCCTATCTTGTTTAAGTAGGAGTAGGCGCACACGTAGATTAGAAAACCGGCGACAAAGATGGAACGAGCTATCAGACGCAATAAGTGCCGAATATCTAGGGTATCCAGGCGGGTAGTCTTCAACTAAGCTATGTTAGCCGTTAATGTAGCGCATTTAAGGTCGGTTCACGTCGTACTCTGCACTCTCTCTCGAGCCCCTTGCGGGGAACCATTAATAACCCGAGGTTGGCTGGCACACCTCGCCCCTAAGCTGTTGGTATCTCTGCGCGGTGTAAAGGGAGAATCGCTGCGGTGGCCAAGTTCGATATCGGCCTCTAGTGAGTCTTCCATATTGCAGCCTTGGGGTTTCCCTAGGGCCATGGAATGTTGTATGCAAGGCAGGATTTGGGGTTTAACTCGGGCAGAAATGAGACGGAGCGCCGCCTTGTGCCACAATTTATTCCGGCCGGAGGGAATTGTGGCAGGTGGGAAATGTGTATTTTTACGTTTATATGGGATCAGAAGGTGCATAGATACTGGCGTAATAACTGCCCGGGCGCTCCGTTCTATATTCCTAGTTTTGCTCAATTCAACGTTGCAACACGTCCTCTAGATGCTCCCTTTTGAGCTCTGCCGCATATATTGAGAGGCTGCGCCCAAGCCTACAGGAAAGAATTATCGCGGCGCAGCAGCGGCAGTGAGCAAACCTGTGGCTTAGTTAGGCAGCCACGACACATGGCGTACGATGATTCGTGGATCGATGCAGCGTCTGCTGCAGAGCACCAATTCAAGCAAGTCCTAACGGCCTCGGGAGGTGGTGGCCCCACATGTCTTGGCGCCACCGGATTTGTATACAGAACGTACGTACTTTTAGCTAAGATACGGTCTTGAATGTGTGTAAATTGCCTCTGACCCTATCCAGGGCCTATCCAGGGGGCGGATGGTATGGACCTTTGGTACCAATACTAGCTTGCAGCATTTCTGTCGCATCAACATTCATAAGCATCCTTAAGTCCACTGTCAACGTGGGCCTACACTTTTGGGTGCGACAATTGAGGGATACGAAGTAACTTAGTTCCGTATGATGTTGGCGCACCCCGGGGAGCGGGCTCTAATAATTACACCAACGCCCCTTGCCGTTATCCCGCGTCACTAAGTCAGGCAGAAATGGAAGGCTAGGTTATTACGTTTTGTGCGGAGTATACAAATGACCAATGTTTTCCAGAACCGTTTCGTTGGCTGTTTCTGTCAGCCGTTTTCAGCTTCTGACGCCGCGCCCCTTGGTGCAGGCTGCCGATAGCTCCATAATAAGAGGCACCAGGCGCCCCCCTCCACTGGGAAGGTAGGCTGTTTAATCCCTATTCTCACCGTCCTACCCTCCTCATTCACGACTACAAATTGAGTTTTTCCAGCCGTCACCATGCCCGATGAACCCGATGTTGCCGCGAGCCACTGGGCGATTTTGATTGGAGTCAATTTCTACGTCGGTGACACGTGCCTTAAGGGCGCAGTGCGAGATGTGGAGGTCGCCAAGCAGTATCTAGAGGCCGGGCCTGCACCCGTGGATATCGCCATTCTGACTGCAACAACGCCTGGGAACCCTGACGCTCGCGTTCCAGTCGAGGACCCAGCTTTCCAGCCAACGCGCGATAATGTGATTAAGAAGCTTGAAAGAATTCTCCGTAATGCCAAGGAGGGGGACTCTGTATACGTTCATTATTCCGGCCACGGCACACGGAGGAAGTCCCCGGACGATTTCGTTAAATACGCTCATGAGGCCGGGAACCTTGCATTTGTTCTTTTTGAGGATGATAGAAAACATCTGGACTTCGGCTATAGCTATTTCAATGGGCAAGACCTCGCCAGCTATCTAGACCGGATGGTAAGGAAAAAGCTTCTCGTGAACCTCGTCATCGACTGTTGTTTCTCGGGAAGTGTCATGCGCGCTGGCCAAATACAGAACGCTGGTGTTCGGTCCATTAAATACAATCCACTTGTCGATGCGGCGTCGTCACAGGAGCCCTGCCTACCCCCCTCTACTGGCCAGAATGCTTTACGAGATTCTCGGATACCACCGGACAACTGGCTTGTCAATCCCGACGGGTACACAATCCTCGCTGCTTGTGGTCCACATGAAAATGCGCATGAAATTCATTTCGAGGGAGAGCGAAGAGGGGCGCTCACGTCTTTCATCATCTGGGCTCTCAGCGCCTTGAGGAAGGCTGGTGTAGAGGTCACACACCAGTCTCTCTATCAGCATCTGCGTATCATATTCCACGCACATTGGCCGCGGCAAACTCCAATGCGTTACGGACTTGGAAAGTTCTCCTTCTTCGACAAGCTTGGCCCTACGTATCATACATCCTCCTATGCTCCAGTCTTTAGGAAGGATCATGATGGCCCCTTGTACTTAGGTGCGGGACAGGCGCACGGCGTTTACAAGGGCGACGAATATCTCGTGTGCCCATTTGTCACTCCAGGAAGAATTGACAGTAAGGCACAAAACGAGCTCACAAAAGTTAAAGTGGATAGGGTTCGTTGTCTTGAATCGGACTTAGTGGAAGTCGTATCGACATTGTCCCTACAAGCCGTCAAGACGGGTTGGATAGCAAAGCCGTTGACGTCTCTCTCGCCTAGGAAAATATCCGTACGGATCAAGGCAAGCGCTAGAAATCAAGTCCAGAGAGAAGCTTCGGAGCAGCTGCGTTTCCTAAACCTTTGTGCCGAGGACGAGAAGACAGAATCTTGCCTGTTCAATGTCACAGTCAATGAACATGCTGAATACGAGATACTGGATTCGGAATATCAGAGCATCATCAGTCTGCCAGCCATACCGCTTGAAGAGCCTGGAGCGTCTGACCGTGTCGCAAACGTCTTGCAGCATCTCGCAACATTCAAGTACCTAGAAGGCATCGAGAATCGACATCCAGACTTGGCCTTTGAAAAATCATTCTTGCTTGTTCCTATCAACGGCGACGGAGCTCCCGAAATTTTCGATGTTAAGCATGGCGGTGAATGGGGCTTTACAATCGAGAACCTCGGGGAAACGCCTCTATATCTGGCCTTGTTCAACTTTACGCCGTCCTGGAAGATTATCAATCTTATATCAGGTTCCGGCGGAGGGGATTTCCTGGTTGTGCAGCCAAAGAATGACGAGGCAGAAAACAGCAACAAGGAAACTCTACGGTTCGCGATGGAAGTTCCAGAATTCCTTCAAAGTCGGGGCATAAAACGGTGCGAAGACATAGTAAAGGTCTTCATCACCAGCAAGCCAACAGATTTCCCAAGCATGGTCTTGCCAGAAATCCCCCTCACCGGAGCAATTCCTAATAGAGCCGTTCGTGGGGATGTCTATCAAGTGCAGGAGTTTCTTTGGGGGCTAACCACAGGCTTCCGGGGCCAAGATTCCACCGTAACAGAGGGATGGGCCACCCGAAACTTCATCATCTGCACAGCTATAAAAGAAAATAGGTAGCATGGGGAGAATCTTTACGTTAATAGCTAAGCTTTTATCATCTATCAACCTAGCATTTGCATTCTACTAATTGCCCTTATCTGCTGCCGTCCCAGTCTCACCCATCACAAGACAGCAACTGTGTCTCTTCATACCAGCCATTGTTCTTGACTGGGCTTCCCTTCTCATCGCAGAGCCTGTATTGTCCATCGCTCACAGAAGATACTCTATACGGCCCTTCACGCGTCTCTTCAGCACCAAGGAGGTAAACTTGATCATTGATTCGGAACTTTGGGGCCTGGTAACGATCAGAAAATGCGGACGTTGCTCGGATGTATATCCTTACGGGGCCCTTTCGGATTCGAGGACGGGCCCCATCTTCGCAGAAAATGAACCTGGGTATTTCAGTATTTCAGAATGGAAATACAATTGTGCCGTTAATAAGGGGGTCTCACCTTGGCTCTTGATCCATTGTCCTGTCGCTTCTTTAATGGAGGTGTTTTGTAGGCGTCGCGTAAAATGCGTTATATTAAACGGATATTTGGTCGGGTGTGCTCCGTATTTATCTTCCAGCCCAGCCATTCTCTCAACCTGCTTTAGGCAGCATCTGTTAATCGCTCATCTTCATGCTACTAGGCAATCCAGCACAGCCTCGTGTGGTAGTGCGGCTGCGCCTGGCCCCGGCGCTTCGCGTCCTCAGCCCGAATTCTGCCTTACTGTCACAATACGAGGCTAACGAATGCGTCGGTGTTGGTCTAGCTATTGGCAGCCCGCACCTAGGGGTGCGGCATCAGCTGTTGAAAACGCAACCCAGCAAATAAGGCGTCCGCTGGATGATTCTAGGCATCATGAGCAACGGCAGAAGCAAAACAGGATGCCCTGCAGTCAGACTTTCACGCCATCGCATGGACTTCCATGCTCTCACACTGAAGAAACTAGAGGAGCATCCGCACTGACATTGAAAGCGAGATGAGGTTCAGCCGCTCCATATTTTGGAACCTCGGACCATGTGCTGGACAAGATTATAGGCCACATGCAATTCACTTTTTAGATGTTTGTGTATCACACCATGCAGACTAGCAAATGCTGTGTATGTGGCCGTTGTAGCCGATGTGTATGTAACAAAGTTGAGCATCCGCGCTTATCTTGCAATAGACCAGATCAACAATAGATATATATCTCTCCTTTATCACAATCATCGGTTAGAGTTTTCACTTATCAATATAACTATCACCACAAGCTTCGCCCTCGGGCTGCTAGCCCTCTACACGTGGATCCGACATGATGACTATGCGCTAAGTGGCATACGAATTGGCGAAGCAACGATGCTAAACTCCAAAATGAACATAGGGAACCCAAAGCGGCGTCCTGAACACTGTCTCGACTCTCTTGCCTACAGTTATCAGTGACGCATCTCTTTTCTCCGCCTGCTCTTCTCTCCGCCGTTCCTCGCACAGCCATTTCTCTCGAAGCGCGCGGGTAGCCTCATGGAGAGCAGTGCTGACAGAGGCATCGTCCAGCGTGCTATTATTCCCTAGTGACTCGTATATCGTCCTGGCCATGTCCACACATAGATGGTCGTTAACTTCCCAAAGCGTTCCAATGACATGCCGGAACCCGGCCAGTTGGAAAGCGCTCGTCAGATGCACGCTCTCGTCGGCCGACTCCTTGTCTAGGTTCTTCCCGGTCGCGCAGGCCGAGAGGTAGGCGAGAAAGGGCGAGGCCGCGCTGAGGCCAGTCTCCATGAGCTTTTCCACCGTCAGAGGGCTGTGTTCCCAATCCTGTAGATACAGTAGGCTCTGCAGTGGATCCGACCGCGGGCTCCCATGGCCTGCAAAGTGGAAGATGGTGCAGTTCGCCAAGGCTGAAACCATCTCGTCTCGGCGCGGTGGCGGCGAGAGAACCGGCAGGCGTAGAGGGCCCGAACAGCACATAACCCGCACGGCGCTGATCTCGTCGGCTGCGTACTTGAGAGGGCCCTGGCCCGGCGTCTCATTCATCGAGACGACAACGACAGATCCGTTCGTCTTTGCGCCTAGGCCCCGGCTTTGCAGCCGGCGGGTCCGGATGATTGTCTTGATAGATGAGCTATACGACGACACAACTCGGTCGAGAGCCGTCCTTTTGCTGCCATCCATATGGTATCCGGCCGCATGGAGCGGAAACCTGCCCAGCGCGCCGGTTGGAATCCACCAGACACGGGGCCAAGGCACTGCCGTCGGGACATCAGTAAAGCCTAAGGCTTGGAGCACGGGCCCAACAACGACGTCCCAGAGCCATTTCAGAGTCTCGGTGGACTGCAAATTAGCGACCCGACTCTGAATCGCTTTGTGGGTGAGGCCGGGTAGGTGTAGTGCGCTAACGCCCGATGCCTGGATAATGAGCGCGTCGCATCTGTGAGGGCTCACGTTAAGGACGACGATAGGACCTAGCGCGGCCTCCTGGCACATTTCATATTCGGTCGGGGGTTTCAAAAACGCACCAAACCCGGGCTCGCGGCGAACTTTGATCAGAAGCTTCGACATCACCCTGCTGGCGAAATGGCGTCGGTCTGGGACAGACCAGGTGGCCGGGGCTCCCACGATCTTGATCGGGTTGCGTGAAGCCGCCGCATCAAGCAGCCGTTGTAGAGCCTCAAAGCTGTCCGCCATCTCCGGGCGTTGCTCCCTCAGCTCCGAGAGATCAGTGCGCAGATTATAAAAATTGCCGGCTAGGAGTCCACGCCCAGTCTCCGCCAACTCGAGAGCTACTCTGGGAGCTTGGCCAGAGTGTAGAGCAATGGCGGCAGCGTTGGACGCGATGCCAAAAGCCCGGGAGAGAAGGTGCTTCTTATCGTCGGCCGAGAGGCAGGTGGTGACGGAGATGGGAATCAGGCTGACCGCCAAGCGGGCATCTTCGAAGCCGTTAGCTCCTGGCTGGAGGGCATCAGGCCTCGAAAGGAGCTGACGACCGGCGTAGAGGCAAGGGGCTGATCCTTTCATGGAGCGTAGGGTCTCCCGGAAGTATTCCGTTGACTGGTTGCGGTCCTCAATGTCCTCGGTGACAGAGAAACGTTGGTCAAGATAGCTGCCAAGATTGCCCATCAGGATCGTTCGGAGAGCATAGTCGGAAGGAATCTCGGCGACGGCTTGTCTGGTGATGCTGATGGCTTCATCTAGGTCCTTTATTTCGTGCTTGAGTTGAAAATAATCGGCCAGATGTTTTCCGAGCTCGCGCACGAACATCCATCGGTTATCGTCGTAAGAGCCCCCCTCCTCGACGGCTTGTCTGCCTACTCGGAGAGCCTCTTCCAGGTCCTCGACGGTGCTCTTGCGGGAGTAGCGACAGCGCAGCAAATCTCCCAAATTGCATAGCCTTGTCGGGCGGCTGGAGTTCCTGGGGGGCCCTTCCGCCAACGCCTGCCGGATCGTCACGATAGCCTCATCCAGGTCATTAGAGGCGCTGGTGCGAGCGAAACGGATCCCGAGACTAGCTCCTAGATTGCCCAGATAGCTCCATCGTTTCAACTTGTCGTCGACAGGCGTCGCCGCGATAGCCTGCCGAATCAAGCCGATTGCCTCATCCAGGTCCTCCATGACACCCACGTACTGGAAGCGTTGACACAGAACCTTTGCAAGATCGTTCAGCAATCCCGCTCGCCCCGGGTCTGCGAGAGGAGTCTCGGCGACAGCCTGTCTGAACAAGTCAATGGCTGCTTCTCCTGAGTCAAGTTGTGGATCCGTTATATTGACCGGTTCTAGGTGACTTGTCTCGGTGTTGCTGAAGGCTTCTTTGCGTATGCTGAAGGCTTCATCCTCTTTGATGTATCTTCTCGTCCTGAAGTGACTGCTGCTTTGATGCAAGATGACTTCGCTTGGGGAGCTGGTTTCCCAGTTTCCATAGTGGTTGGCATCCGTTTCAACTTCCATCTTCCACACTGAGTTTCTCCAGCCCTGATATCGTGCCAAAGGAAATATGCCAATTTCACAGCTCGGGGCCTGCGTCAAAGACGCCAGGAATCTGCCAAGGTCGTCGTTTTCATGCTCCGCCTCAGCCATGGCTCCGATTTCCCACTGGTTCGTGTGGCAATGCAGCGTGGGCGTGGCCCGAAGGTTTGTCTGGAACTCGTGCAGATGCTCGTCAGAGAATCTGTCGTCTCCGGGCTCGGCATCCTCGTGCACATGGCCAAAGCAGAACCAGCTCCAGGAGTCGGCGTAGGGGTTATTCTCGTCGACAACGCCATTATTAGACCATCCTGCGATGCGAGGTGATTAGCATCTACTTGATGGGCTGGCAATTATGGCAACCGGGAGTTCAGCCTTGCCTTGATCATGCGACCATATCCGGACAGCTAGGCGCCGCAGCTGCCCCGGTCGTGTCTTAAAGGTTATATATGGACGACGGGGAGTATTCTGATGGAATGTCTCTAGGCGTGTCTTGGAATAGACAAAACACCCACCAAGCTTGTCTTCTGAGGCTTCCATAACGAGGTATTTCGTATCTGCTCAACAATGTTGGCCACGCATTACAGCACAGAAATGAGTTGCGGCCGAGATTGAGCGGCGATGATACTACATGTACGGAGGTGCACCTCAACTGCCCTTTATTGTGACATCAAGAGCCGCGTACGCCTGCCCGCGACTTGTCGTTTTGCATCTGACCTCAAGATCCCCACGAATCATCATCGGGCAAATGACCACCTGCCACGTCGCCAACGTGCCGCTGCGACGCATGGGCTGGCTTTGCAGCCTTGTCGTGCGCCTTGGCCCCGATTCGACATCGAGCCATGTATCCATAAGGCTGACTGTCTAGACACATGAAAGGGGCCATTTCGCTGAGACATGTGCCGGGCTTTTGCGTACGTTTCAGCCTTTTCGTCAGCGCTAGACATGTGCATGTGTCGCGACTGGTCCATCTCAGCGGCACAACACGACGAGTGCATAATTATGCAAAAATCCCGCAACAGGTTTTGGATTGACGCCTTTTGAAGGACCACGACGATCCTATTTGGGGGCTATTGCGGCTCAACACTGGCCCCCCTCGGCCACCCATCAAGCGCGGGCAACCCGAAGTCGTCTTGCCTAACCACCACTGTTCTGATGTGCCACAAGAGGGGGGGGGGGTGAAACAAAATGAGCGAGGATGGGCGCCTCCTCGCCATTCTGCTCGTCTTGCAGACGTAGCCTAGCAAAGGTCCATGGATCGTCTCTATTTGACACCTCAAGCCCGCTTGCGTCCTGCGCCTGTTGTAGCCAGTCAAACGACAAATAGGCTAGTCGTCCAACGTTTACTCGTGCCTGCACCACGTTGGAGTGCCTCCACAGTGCTCTCACACATCAAGCATGGCTTTCCGTGCGGCAACGTCTATACGACATACATGTTGCTAATGGGAATCGACCTATCTCTCGACAACGAACCTCGAACCTACGAAACTAGCGATCCAGTCTCTATTGGCAATCTTGACGGCGGTGTCAACGACGTCGGCGCTCTAAGAGCATACCACGAGGTCTAGTATTCCGGCATTTATCTCTCTATCCTTACTTCATCCCCGTCCGTTGAAAAGGGCTAGAACAAGCAGCTAGCCGAGCCACTACGTCGACTGTCAACATTTAACAGCATTAATAGGAAGCTCGACGTAATATATGAACGAGCGAGGAATAAGGGATTTACCGGTAATCTGCCGGATCCCGTGACCCGCCGGACTTACACCGACATTCTGTCTTAACATTAATTTAGAACATCTTAATAACAATAGCGGCTATTAAATAAGCGCTTGCTTTCCTAAAGTCCTCTAAAGCTATTAATTACGCTAAAATAGCTCGTCGATTTAGCTATAATAAGACTATATTACGCCGCCGTTATTAAGGTAAATAACGCTTAAGACGTAATACAGACTCCCTTTATAAATTTTAACTATTAAAATAGTACGAACTAGACCTTATTACTTATATTTATAAGCTTTCGGTACGTAGTATCTTACCTACGCTATCTATAATTAAAAACTTCGCTTAAGATATAGCGAAAATAAAAGTTAAAAAGAACTAGCCGTATAGCTTTATTAACTACGATTATAATAAGCTTAGTTATACTTAGTTTAATAGATTTAATATAGCGTAAAAGCGAGCTAATAGTGCTTTAAAGTATAGAGATTATTTTAAGCTAATAAGTTAATATATTAATAGGTCTCTTTATATATAAAGGGTAGGGTTAACCGGTATATTATATTTATCTATCTTCCCCTCTTTAAGGGAGGGAGGAGGCTACGATGCTAGCTATATAGCCTTATCTATATATATAATAGCGCACGTAAGCTAGCTAGATAAGTATAATAGATTACTATAATTCCTATACTAGTAACTTTTCTTTTACTATAAGAAGTATAGTAATAATCTATCTAGGTTTAAATAAGAAGAAAGACCTAGTTATATAGGTTATAATAACTATGCCGTTATAGCTATTTAAAGTCTAGTTATATAGACTACCTATAATAAGGATCCTAGGGAACGGATAAAAGAAAGACGGGCTAATTAACTATAATAACTATTTAATTATTAGCGTTATAAGTAATTAAGGGCGTTAGATATATCCTTCTATTCGAATTATTAAACTATTAGTATTAATAAAGCGTTCTAGGGCTCGGTTTAGTAATACCTTTATTATAGTATTAGCTAGATTATCTATACTATTAATCTAACGAATCTCTATAATCTCTCGTTACTTATATAACTAACGAAGGGCTATAATATTAATTATTAATCGCTTCTCCTTTATTATACTTAGTTTAATAAGATATTTATAAAGAGAGTATAAGTCTATATAGATAATTAAAGGGATAAAAGGAAGTCTAAGACGGTTAGTAATTATCTTTAAAGTTATTAATACCGATATACTAATATTAAATCTATTAACTATTTTATAGATTTCTAAGGCTAAAACGCTTTAAGTTATCCTTTTATATTTAGTTAAACTCTAATAAATAATATTACCGTTAATCCTAAACTCTTTCTCTTTATAGTTAGTCTCGTTAGTAAGGATAATAATATAACTAAGTTATAAAGGATAGGTCCTTATTATTTATAAACGATTTATCTATAAAGATTAAAAGCTTTATTATAAGGGTATTTACCCTTAGTATAGGTCTAAGTATTAGCCTAGACCTTAGCCGATAGCGTTATAAGGTAGGGCAGGCTATATATATAAATACGTATTTAGTAGCGGTAGGCGTAGCGTATAGTTAGATCCTATATAGCTTATTATTATAATATAATAGAAGGCACTTATAGTATAACCCTTTACTTACCCCGTAATAGTATAAGCTATTATTATATTAGACCCGATATTAAAACCTTAGTAGTACTAGCTAAGGTAGTAGTAGTAGTAATAGCTATTATAGGAAGAAGCTTAGTACTAATAGCTATAGTAATAAGCGGAAGAGCTATACTAGTAATACTTATAAGAAGAGGCCTAGTAGTAATAGGATAAATAAGCTTAGTTTATAAAGCTATTTTACTAGATATTATAAGACCTAGACTAACGAGTAACCCTATACTAGATCCTTAATACCCTCTTAATACTAGCTCTAATAAATACGCCCCTTATTACTAGGAGGTTAAAGCGTAAGGCGGCCCTTAGTAGATAGAAGCTACTACCTTAGCCTACCTAAGATAGTAAGCTAGAAACCTTTTATTTCTTCCTTAACCGCTTAATAGTAAAATACTATATTAACGCGAAATAGGGCCTTAATAGCTATAAGGAGATAGCTTAGTTCTTACTCCTCTATATACTACTAGAGCCCTAGATATAGTAAGTAGTAGGCTTTTAAGAGTAGGGCGGTCTTAAGGGGGCGAAAGACCCCTAAGTATTCTTTAACTACTTAGTTTATACCTTTAGTAATATATAGGAATAAGAGAAGGCATAGGATAGGCTATAGACCCTTACTTAGTAAGAGGGGTAGTCTTTTAGGGAGTTCTTATTAGAATTTAAAGAGACCTTAATATAGGCGGCGGGTAATACCGCTTAAGATAACGGCGCTAAGCTTACCTAGCTATAAAACTTAATCTCCCTAGCGCTTTAAGAGCTACTTATCTTTATTATAATGCCCTCTACTTATAAGGGCTATATAGCTTGCCTTATAAAGATAGCTTAAGGATATAAGTAAACGCTATACTTTTAAAAGCTATATAAGCGCTTAGCTTTAAGCGGGACTAATAAGCTAGATAGTTCCTTCTTACTTAACCTATCTATACCTAGGCCCGCTCCTAAGTTAGCGGTTAATATAGATAGCGATATCTAGATAGTAGCTATATACCCTAAGGGGCGCGGTAATAGTATAACCCTAGCCGCTCTACTAGCGGTATAGTCTAGTAAGATAGCTAAGTAAGTATTATAGAGTAAGTAGAGGTATATATATAGGTGCTGTCTATAGGATAATATTAATAAGCTATATAGAGCTCTTTTATACGCGGCTAGCCCGCCCTTATATATATAAGATCTAGCCCTTTATATATAACTATATAGCTTAGGCTATAGCTTAAGCCTATTACCTATAATAATTAAAGACTCTTATATAATGCCCTCCCTTAAGCGCGGTATAGGGCTGCCTTATTAACGGCTCCTATATAATTAGGCCCGAGCTAGTAGCTCTTCCCTACCCTTTCCTATTAATCGAGCCGGCCCTACTAGCCCTATTATCCCTACGCCTATTAGCCTAAGTAGCCGGCGGCCGGTCTAGACCTACGTAAGCCTTAGGTTGCCCGTCCCCTCTACCTTAGGTAGTATCCTCTACTAAGGGGTATATAAAGCGGCATCCTTCTTTTCCCTCTTCCCTTTCTTTTTTCCTTTCTTTAACTATAATAGTAGTATTAATAAGTAAGTTTTACTTTACTTAAAGCGTTAGTCTATTCTTAGCTATATAGGCCGCTCTATTAACGTATATTTATAGTAGTAGTAATAGTAGTAATAACGGCCTTAATAATAATAATAACTTTAATTAATAAGTTCCGCGCCCTACTAAGTAGGAGGCTATATTTTATTAAGCTAACTTCCGCGATAAATATATCTACCTCTCCCTCTCTTACCTCCTTCTTCTTAGAGTATATAAAGTCGTTCGTCGACGCTATACTAGCCGCGGCCGACGATAACTCCGCCGCTACCGCCGCTCCTACCCGCGCCGCTACTACCGCTCCTACCGCCGCTACCGCTGCCTTTACTACGCTATTCGCCCTTACGTTGCCTTTTAAGGTAACGACGCTATCCCCGCTACTACCTATAACGCCCGGCCCCTTAGCCCCCGCCTCTATCTCCGCTACCCCTATAAGTCTATAGTTAGGTAAGCGTAATAGACGTTATCCGCTAACCTCCTATAGTATAAGCGCTAAGTATAGGCCGGCGCCGCCCGCTTAGCCCCCTATATACGTTATACGTCGTAAGAGCTCGACTACTCTAACTAGGCCGGGCGCCGCCGCGGCGGTAGCTACTACTAGTA